AAAAAAAGATTTGGACGTATAATTTTCTTAGGCTTAAATAGCAGGTTTTGTTTAATTTAACCCATGAAATATGGTGTTTTATCAGTCAAATATATTTCATATTTGTAAAAAAATAGATATGAAATATAAATATGAAAGTGGGCGTAGTCAAAACTCATATTTATTTTAGGGACTTCTTTCGCCATTTTGTTAAAAAAATCGGATAAATAAAAAACAACCTTTGTTGAATTTTGTTTTAAAAACTATCTAGAATGATGGAAAATGGTCTAACTATCTTTTATTAAGTCATTAACGCTGTACATACGTTTAAAGTGTTGTTTATGTGACGTCACACTGTAGCGCAAAACATCGCGTGCACAACAAGACGCATCTATATTACTGCGCGCTGTAAAATTGCAGTTGCGTAGCAAGCAAGCGGGTTCGTAACAATTTTTTTTGATAATTGAATTAAATAAAGAAGGTTATTTTTTCGTTTTTCGTGAAATATGGTATATATTTTCACTCAACATGATAAAATGCCACATATTTTTACTGGCCGTCCCGGCTAGTGAAAATATGTGGCATTTTATCATGTTTCGTAAAAATATATTCCATATTTCACTCAAACGAAAAAGTAACCTTTAATTAATATTTTTATGTTAAATATGCAATCATGCAAATCAGCAAACGAATTTACAATTGAACATGATTTATGCTTCCATTCATGTATTAAAAAATGATAAATTCAGAGATTTCAATAAAAGTATGTTTGATAACATTTATTTCACAGTGAAAATGATAAACAGTCGCCCGATATAAATTAACTTGTTTCAAACCCAACGAGACATTTATACTAGGAACCAATGAAAAATGATAAGTTCAATAAAAGATGAAAATCATGATGATTTAAAAACAAGCCACTTGAGAAATTGAACGTCACCTCTGAAATAATCTCGGTTTTATAATGTGTATATAAAAAGTGTTAAATTAAGAAATAATATCGGTCTCAGCTGTGTTTATCGGCTATTTAACACCGGTTTGGAGTTATGATGCGTAGGAATTGACCACGATTTTTTCTGTTTGATTTCGCACGCTACTGTTGCTAAGATATAGAAATTATTAAACAAAGAAATAATAAGAAAAAAGTTATTTTATCAAGTTTTCAACAATAAAAGGTTACGTCTTAGGACGGATTGTATTGTGTTTATATCAGAGCCCAATTCATCATTATATTATGTTTGAAATGACGTCAGCGTTTAATGAATGACTTGTATACATAGGATGACGTCATTACGCTGCTTACGGATTGGCGCCGTTTTGTTAAAATATTCATCAACTGATATGTATCAATTCTGAGGTGGTAGCTTATATGAGATATTATTTCGGTATTGTATGAAAAGAAAACATTATAAGAACTGAAAATATTAATTAAAAAGCTTTTCTATTGTTGCTTTAAAAGGCTTTGTAAACTAAATAATTGAGAGAGAAAACATAACAGCCGCATATCAAGTAGTCCCTAACCAGTGTTTATTTGCAGTTTAACACCGTTTTTTTACTTCTTTGTCTATAGTGACATAATCACGTGAAATAAATTAGTATTAGAATGAAATAAAATAATTATGCAACGGGAAAATGAATAGTGTATGTGAAGTTTATAGCCTGGCAGTAAGCTCTAAAACATACATTAAAAATGTTAAACATTTTCAATATTGACGACATTTATATCAAAATTAATTTAATTTTGTTTTGAGGTGTTTTTTTCAAGTTGAATATTGCAAACAGAAAATATAGGTCAATTATGTTACTACATGCTAACAAGGATTTTCACTTTTGCTTATGATAATAGTATTGTTTAGAATTCAAGAGTAACACAAATTAATTGTTTTTTGTGTATTTTGCCGCGTTGTTTTGTTGGATAGTTTACAAAAGATCAATGTGCGATTGCTACATTAGTCGGTCTGGTTATGATTTAAATACCCTCGTTTTAATGAAAAGAACTTTATATCATGACTTGCTTCTTAAAATTCATTAAAAGTATTGCACTAAAATTTTAAAAGGAAACATTTATAAAGTATAGAATCACGAAATAACTTACAAAGCACCTTTCCGTGAAGAGTTGAAACTTGCGCATCTATTACTGGGAGTATGCTATATGTTCTTATTGAATATCAAATACTTCCTGGTAAAAATAAAACCTCTTGAATAATGTAAGTTAAATACATGAATTTTATTGATGCTCTTATCATGTTGCTTACAGATTGTATCAGGGTGTTGTAAATTAACGCCTTGTTGTTTTATTTTTTCTTATCGAGATTCCCATGAAATGCGAACAAACTAATCGACTACATGTCCGATGTTATGAAAGTTTTACAGAATATACGCCCTAATTCTTAGGAAAACAAAAACGAATAGATAACGATAAGAAGATAGAATCATGATCTTATCCGCTAATTTATATTTTGTATATATTTTTTTATACAAGCAGGTTCGGACTAGGGTTTGGAATTCATCAGTTCATTTACGTCCATTTTATAGTAAAAATCCTACTTTTTTATGCTGCTTCAAATGAAAAATCTATGTAGCAAAATACTTCAAATTGAGCATTCAAATCCATTTCTTTAAAAAGATCTAAACAGTCCAACATCAGAGACAACATTTTAAACCCCTTTCCTGTGAATCTTGCTGATCAACTGCTACAAATGGCTTTAACAAGTGTTAAATCTTTCCAACATACAACAATTCATTTCAGTATTACTTTATTACTCTGATGCATCTGCTACAAATGGCTTTAACAAGTGTTAAATCTTTCCAACATACAACAATTCATTTCAGTATTACTTTATTACTCTAATGCATCGCGATAATTAATCGAAATCTCTCACGAACACTCTCGATCAGAACAAGTCTGCGTTTTTCATTTTTTCTGAAAAGGAATCTTCGCTTAACAAGAGTTTTGTGACAATTCCAAATAAGTTATAATTTGAATTGACGTATAATTAAAGAATTGGTATTAAAGATTAACACATCACTTTCTTTATTACAATAGATTATTTTAAAAGATAATGGAATCAACTGTATGTTTTAATAGAAACATGCTAATGTATTTGTAATAATGTTGGCACTTATACCCTAGTTGGGAAGTGCGGTCTATGTAAAGAAAAATCAAACTGTTTCCCTCAACCTGTATCTATACGAGATTTCCTTCGATACCGTATTTCAGTGCATTTATGCTAAACAACTATACTAAAAATTTTATTACGGGCCTCATACTCAAATAACAAAACAGATTTCCTAGTATAAATACAAAAGTTTCTCTCAGCGAGTATGATTTAGATACCTTTTCTGATTTTATTTTCAAACTGTCCTCATCAAAATGGGTTTCTCATTATTATTTTCATTTGTTATTGTCGTTGGAATATATAGTTATAACTTTTCTGAGGCTAGAGAGCCTGTGTGTTCCAAATTTGCATACGAAGAACAGCTTTTAGAGAAAATGATAAGAACTGAAATTAAGGTAGAAACAATGGTGAATGAAATTAAGAAAACTGAGGATAATGTCATCAGTACATTAGGCGACATTAAACAAACTGTTACGGACATGTTTGCAGATATGAAGGGGAACATAACGGACGAGATGTTAAATAGAGGTGACGAAATAAAAAGAGATATGAGAGGAAACATAACGGATGAGATGATAAAGAGAAGCGATGAGATAGAAAGGAGAGAAGGTATAATAAAACAGCTATTTCACATTAAATACTACCGGAACTGTATTGATAAAGAACGAAATAAATGTGATATATTTGCATTGTCTTTATCTTTCATTGTTGTTCAATTGTTAGCATCAAAGTGTATTGGTTTATTTAATATAGTGAAAACAATGTAGGTATAACAACTGAATCTATCATAATTTATCAAATTAAACCATTATTATTGCAAATAAATTGACTTTTAATACACCATTGTTAACGAACAATAAAGCTTTCGCCTAAAATGTCGATAAACTGTTTTCAAATGTTAGAACTTGACATGACTTTTGTTGTCGAACTTTATAAACATTATTTTCCTTATTAACCTAAACACGTATAGAATGACATTAAATAATAAACGATTCATCTCCAAGAGAAATCGATTGTTTATAAAACTATAATAGAGAAATGAATCTTTAAAAAAAGTTGTTTACTAAATAACCTTGAACTTTAGTAATAATAAATTAATACTTTATTACAGAATCGTTCAAGAAACGTTTTGAAGAAACAAGAAACAACCTCATTAGTGGAATTGACGCTAAAAAAGAGGAACTTATTCAACTTCAAGGTATCAAATCTTACTTGTTTCACCTGTGTAAGATAAAATTGTATTTCATTTATATTTATCTACAACCTTTCATAACAAATTAGATAGTTGCTTACTTGACTGATACATTCATTTAGTCTATCACTTTGTCAACAAACTAGGTTGATCTTATATGTAAATTTGTTAAAATATGACATGATTTTTGTTGTCAAACTTTATTAACATTATTTTCTTTATTAACCTAAGCACGTATTGAACGAATTAAAATGATAAACCATACATCTGCAAGAGAAATCGATTGTTTATAAAGCTATAATCGAGAAATGAATCGTTGAAGAAAATGTGATTACTGAAAAACCTTGAACTTTGGTAATGATAAGTTAATAGAACTTTAATACCTTATTACAGAATCGTTCAAGAAACGTTTTGAAGAAACAAGAAACAACCTCACTAGTGACATTGACGCTAAAAAAGAGGAACTTAATCAAATTCAAGGTAGTGTATCTTACTTTGTTTCAACGTCATGACTGTTTTTCAAATCTGTGTAAGATACAATTGTAAGATAAAATCACTTTGTCAGTAATATATATTCAACAAACTAGAATGATCTGATATGTTGCTCTATGTGTAAATGTGTAACTCTCATTAGATGTTCAAATGATTTAATTCGCACATTCAATTGTCAAGTATTCCATATTTTAATCTCTACATATATTGTCCGAAACGAATATAAGGCTTGTTTTTGTTATTTACGTATGCCCCGTTTTTTAGATATCGCTGAAATTTATTTTACAGTTTAAATGTATAAACACCTATATTCAGATAAGTAATTAAAGCGTGAATTAACTATCTTTGTGCATCGTTAATTGACAGTTTTCACTGACAATGAAATATGAAAACCCGAAATAACTTGTTTACAAAATATCAATATGTGTTACAATATAAAATACAAAACTATTATTTTTATACTCAGGAAAACTTGAACAACCTCCGATCGCTTTCTACGCACATCACGTGAAAGATCTGGCCCTTGATTCTACAAATGAGATTCTCATATTCGAGAAGACATTTACTAACGAGGGAACAGGTTACGACACGTCCACAGGAATCTTCACGGCACCTGTCGGAGGACTGTACCAGTTTGTTATTCATACATGTGCTTATAAAGGAAAACATGCTTATCTTGGACTGGTGCTGAAACGTCACGTTATTGCAGCAGATTCTAACTATGGTGATGAATCGTATGGCTGTAATACGTTTGGTGCTATAGTGAGAGTAAAATTAGGAGAAAAAGTTTGGGTTAAGTCAACATCGTCATGTTCTATCTGCCAGCTTATGCAAGATAAATATAGGATGAATACATTCAGCGGATTGCTTGTCAATAACTGAATTATAAACTAAACCAATTAACATTTATTTGAGTAAAAATCTGATTTCAGTCTTAATACGTGATGTTTAACTTTAACAATTTCAAATAAATTGTTTAAATTATTTTTGTGAATCACTTTCTTGTCAAACAGAAGATTTATTGAACTCATCGATTGGTCTATGATATGTTGTAAAGAATAAAAATCATGCATTTAATGTTTTTTGCATATGGTTGCTATTATAGGAGTATTATATGATAAACAATAGTAGAACATGAATCAAAGTATATCCGAAATGTATAACAATAATGTAAGGAAAGCTTATGCAACATATTTGCGAGTAGTTTTTTGCTTAAAAGTATCATTAAACAGTCAAGCAATTTATAATTATGAAAGCAATTAATGCATATTTTAGTTACATTCAATCTTGTTCAAAATATAAAAAGATTACCTGTACAAATTTGTATACAATCGTTATATATTTTGATGAATTAAAGTACAGTTGCAGTATGCAGAATTCATGCAAAAATAGAGTCGAAACGGGCACAATAGTAAGTAAATGAATCGAAATCATTTGTATTAAATCAAATAATAAATGAGCTGGCATATGCGGCAGCAAAACACATTATATTTTCACTTTCATTTACAGGTTTTTAACATCAATTTTCGTTTTTAATCTAAATGTGAACAATTGATTGTTTTTGATATACCTGAAACATATATCACACCATTATTGTCATTATGCTAATAAAAAGCAGATAAAACGGATGCTTCCTTATAGCACTATATAAAGCTAGTAATTCTGTGAGAAGTGCTGCCGTATGCGATAACTGATTTTTGTCAGTTGAATTTACTTTCAACTATTTACTATTTTGGTGCTCAATTCGATGATAAATTTATACATATTCGACATTATTTTTGCAGTATTCCTGTGTTATTTTAACATTAAAAGTTTCGTGAGGAAATAATTCATGCTAGAAATATTGACGCTAGATTTATAACCATTGTCATATTATTATGATATTGGAGCTTGAAGCAAATGCTATAAGAAATGAAGAAGTTTTAAAAATAATAATATCTAGAAAAAAATCTAAGTTCAAGAGGAAAAAAAAAGTTAGAGTATTGAACCTTCTCTCAAATGACTTGAGGAATAATTAGACACACACACACACACACATACACAAACACAAACACACACACACACCACACACACCAACACACACACCACGCACGCACGCACGCACGCACGCACGCACGCACGCACGCACGCACGCACGCACACACACACACACACACACACACACACACACATACATATATATATATATATATATGCTTAAGTTGTAAAACTTATCACACATAGTGAGGTTGATGATCAGAAACATATATTTGAGTTTTGAAGTAAATACTTTAAGAAATAAAGATCTTATAGTGACAAAGCGTAAAACTTAAATCAGAAATATTGACGAGGTCACTGACGCTTGGTGAGTAGGTCAGCTCTCAATATACTCCCAAAATTATACATTAAAACTGATGTGTATAATCTTCATACTGCCATACTGGTATTTATCTATATTTAAAGTTTCACAAAAATATTTTCACTCCATTTTAGTAATCACAAACATTGTTATATTTGCCATATTTCAAGCGTATTTGTTACCATAGCAACCAAATCTTTTACCATAGAAAGAAAAGAAAAAGTTGTGTACAATCCCCGCACTGCAATCTATTCATATTTCAAGTGTCATAAAAATATTTTCAGTACTTTTTGCTTTATCACATAATCTAATTTATGTGTTAAATAAGCCATAATTTCAGTCTATTTGTTGCCATAGCAACCAGAATTTTCAACACTTTCAGTACTACTTTTTGCGTTATCGTGAGATCCAGTTTTGTGGACGGACGGACTGACGGACAGACATACTGCAGGTAAACCTCAAGTCCCTTCCAGTTAAACCGTTAGGGGACCTTATAACAGGCGACATATTCTAAGGGTGATTCAAAATTATTTAAGTAGGGAAATTTGAACCACCGAACTAGAAAATGCCGAATAGTTTAAACTAAAATGTACCACGAACACAACAATTATGTCGTGCTGAACGACCTTTAAGGATCGGAAATATAACATCTCTGATCGGATGTACGGAACGACTTTTTACAGTCTCTAAACGGCACAAACAACGCTGATGTGGCGATAAAAAAGGAGAAAGTAAGAAGTCTCATCCATTCATAAGAACATATTTAATAGTTCAATTAAATAATTTTTCAAGATAAAAGTTGTCTGTGTACGGCCATTCTATTCTGAATAACAAGATACTGTAAAAGTAACATAGAGGAAGGAAGGCAACTCCCGAGTTCATACTGCAAGCATTTCCAATATGCAGAGTCGCCTCTCTTCCCATTCCACATTTATATACATATATTACAACTAGAATAAGACACCATTGCTAATCTTGTTCTGAATGAACGTCTGGTAATATTTTTTTATATTAAACACGCCAGCAATGGTCTCTAATTTTAAACAATTATCATAAAGCATTCTTGAACATATTAGCAACAGATTCTCAATTTGTAAAATCATTTACTGCATATTTGAAGGGGTCAGTGCAAAATGGTACCTATCGTTATTTAACATTATCTTGAGAAAAAGGTCATTTTATGAAATTTAGTTTTAATTGAAATATTTTAAAATTAATTCACTAATAAGTAATGTTATTAATAAAAAAAACATTTGAAACCAAAGTTGTATGTTTTACACAATTTTTAACCATTTTATTTAAAGAAAAATTATATTTATTAAATGTGCTTATGCAAAAACGGTTCTAAGATCCTAACTTTTTAAACAATTGCATAAAGTATTTGAGCTTAAAATTTACATATATTTTAACCTTTCAATCAACTAGAAGGTTATCATATAACCTCTAATGTATTTGCAGATTAATAGATTAATATTAAGCTTTATAAAAACTTAAGGCGTATCAAACAAATCATCAATTGTATAGTTTGTATTTGTTACACATTCTTCAGTTGATAAATTGATGAATATTTGATTAGTATTTAATATTCAAGCCAGTTCAAATATAAAGGAACCTACCTTATGAATAAAAGTTTTGTTTTCAAAAATTCAGAATATATATTTCAAAAACATTGCGTAAAGGAACTGTAACAAACATATTTTCACAAGATGACTGCATTAAAATAACCAAAGTTACAAATATTATAAAATACATCAGCTTGAGCTGTATAGTTTCAATATCACAGAATATCGTCTCGAAAAATCAAACAAAAGGTACCAGAACATGCATTTGTCGCTAAAATGTAAAATATTTATACAATTAACTATAACTACCTAAAGCATCCTTAGTGCTAAAATTTAAACATTTCCTCTTAAACAATAAATTTTATGGTGATATACATGTATAGAAAATCTCTAAACAATATCTTTGTAAATGTCTTCATGCAAAATTTAAAAAATGTGCAACAAAGGTTCTATGTCCATGAACACAAAATTCCCATAATAATATTTGTAATAATTTTCACACATGAACATTTCTGCAAATTATTTTGACAAGACATAGATGTAAATTTTCATGTAAATATTGACATAAAATCAAAATATAACCACATGTTTACATAATTTGTGCGCCTCAAAACAAGAAAACATGGATAGAATTAATGTAACAAAAGTACAAACTCCACCCCTTGAGTTAGGACCTTTGTTAAGTTCCTCCAAAAACCATTTTCACCTTAAAAACAAAGGGAGGTTATTCTAATTCCAAATAATGTTCTTTAAACCACAAAGGTCCTAACTCAAATTTACCCTAAATTGGAGTTAGGTACCTTGTTACACTGATCCATTCATTTTCTTACATCACTGAAAACATAAAGAAACAAATGAATGAAAATAAATACTGCATTTATACATATATTGCATTTGCCTAAGACTGAGGAACAAAGTACTTATCATAAAACCGTAAGTATACGCTTTTTAAGAGACTCAGAGAGTATAGTACAAAATATCCTAAATTAAAGTATTATAACCATTATTAATCATTATGAGTACATAGTTTTAAGGTATTTCGTTGTATATGTCTGGTCTTGTCAGACAGGCTCGGTCATATACATCATATAAAAAGATTGACGCAGGAAAATAAGATAATAAATGTTATAAAATATACCAATGAAAACAAAAATTGTGAATGATTTTCATAGAATATGTCATTAAAAACTGGAGACAAATTCTTAACGTGATAAAAGTGCTAATCATAGTTTGATAGCCACGATTGTTTGTCATGAGCAATAATTCTACTTATACTTTGATGTTGAGATTTTTCATCTTGGTGATAATAAAGAAAAATAATTGATATACTTTATTCCGATTTAAACTAATTTTATCTATTTTGGCTCTGTATCCTTACACGCAATTACGTCATAAGTTTACACTGTTGCTCTATGCTTGGAAGCGCCTTTTTCTAAAAAAAAGCTGCTAACATAGATGGCTTTATTATATCTAGATAGTTTGCAATTACTATTTTCAATTAATGAATAATAAAAACAAATCACGTGGACTTTTCCATATGCAACATATATAATCTTTATCTGAATGAATTATTCTACGTCAAGTAACTTCTTAAGCTGTAACCAGGACAATTTATTGAATTTTCATTATTTTTACCGAAGAAACTATAACAATTCCATTTGATGATATCAAGTTTTTTTTCAGTTTTTCAGTTCCATTCAGTTCTATGTTTACATATTTTGTTCTCTGTGCTAGCTCAGTTTTTTTCACTACTTGTATCCTTTTTAACAATTTTCTAATTCTTAAGCTTTTATCTTAAAGCTTGCTGTTTCAACATTATTCAAGAATGCAATATACTTTGAAAAGGCAATAACGAAATTTTCATTATGAAACAGCAATATAGGATGAAATCGGTTTAATATATAATTGCATATTATCTTAATCAAAAGCAAGTGTTTACAGTGTTTACCTTTCCATAGAGATAACAATTAACTGATTACAAACCTGATGATTTATAATAGTTTTTCATATATTTTTCTGGTAACACCGCCTGGGTTATGTAAATTGATTAGATAAGATTAATTGAAGCCAGATAAAAATTGCCATCTGTTTAGAATGTTCTTTTTAACAGGATGCTGTAAAGATACACTTTGACTTTTTGATTTCTTACATCACGATTTTTAAAGTTTCTAACTATTTGATATAAGCCAGATATATTTATAAACAAGTGATGCCTTGATAATAATGATATAGATAAATGTTATGTTTTAATTCATCTGCTTACGTCGTAGGTCCGGAAGGAGGGCTTGCTTTAAACTAGTTAAATATGACTTAAACAACATCCTTATTTAACGGTTTAACATATGGTCATGCCCTCTATCGAGCGACAGCACCACAACCACCATCACAGGCAGAGACCTAGAGGTAGAACACTAATTTCAGAAGTAAAAGGTCAGAAGTTCAAGGTTTAGTAAATGTTCGTTTTATTAACTTATATTAAATGGTTCTTTAAGGTCCATTATACGCAAGACATATTTTTTTTATTTCTTAACTGATTGAAGGTTTGGTAAGTCACACATTACTTATTTTCTCCGCAATCTGTTGCCTCTGTTGCTTTTTGGCAAATAGTACATTTATAGTGATTTTGGAATTGGTATAGGAGTCAAATACCACTTTCTTTACATATTTCCTTCTTTAATGACAAACGGTTCTCGTTCAACCTTAATTCCGTCTATATTAAAGTCATTAAATATACTCTAAAACCAGTCTGAGAACGCCATGGAACCCATGGGTGCTGTTTCAAAAGGTGGTAAGAATTTTGTTCATTTCTAAGGCATTATATGCCTTTAAGTTATAAGTAAATATATGCAAAAGAAAGAAAAAAACATGCACTTAATGCAAAAATAAAAAAAAACCCTTGTAAATGACTGTTATTTTGATGAAATTTATTCAATCATTAGATTGTTCTATTTATGTACATATTTTACACAGCTTTAAAGAGAAACAGGTTCAAGAAATAATTACGTACTTACCTACTATTTATTAAAGTTTGCATATCACGATGGATATTAACGCACTAACGTTTGCGACTGGCTAAGTTTTCACAGCTGTTCTGAATTTTCCTAGATAAAATTAACGCTTTAATTCAGAAAATATTAATTGAATACTCGTATTACTTGAAAATCTAAGCGTAATTATCTTATTTAAATAACAAAATACTTTTTATCACACACCCGTGCCGATTTTGCGACTCCGTAAATATGGTATTGCACGGCCGTGCATATATTTTGACGTGACGTCATTAGCGTTATACAAACATAGTGTAAAGACGCGCTAAATGTTAGCGTTATACTATAGGCGCGTCAATGAAAATGACTCTTATTTCACTTGAAACGGTCTTTATTTTGGGTATGTGATAAATAGAATATTAAATTCGTGTAAGTTCAATACTGAATTTATTGCACTCGTTGAATAAAATAATATTATGCTCGCCGGAGGCTCGCATAATATAATTTTATTCAACTCGTGCAATAAATTCAGTATTGAACTTACACTCATTCAATATCCTCTATTAATTAGTGACAATCACATTTAATAGACAAATGTTCACTGTTTTTTTTTAACAGAAGGTCCGGACGGTCTGTTTGCAATAAAGCTAAGTTTATTGCAAAAAATGTGAGTAAATGTTATATCCGTGCTTCGCTAGTTACAAGGTTTTTTTTAGAATCTAGCAACGGTAATTCTTCAAAAGTGTATTGTATAGTACCGATAGGTTCAATTAAATCAAACTTGAAAGAATGATAGAAATGTTTCTTTGTAGTCGACATAAACAGATATAAACATAATTTACTGTTTTTTTTTTAACAAAAGGTCCGGACGGTGTGTTTGCAATAAAGCTAAGTTTATTGCAAAAATGTTTGTAAATGTTATATCTGTGCTTCGCGAGTAACAAGGCTTTTTACGAATCCAGAAGTGTATTGTATAGTACCGATAGGTTCAATTAAATCAAACTTGAAAGAATGATAGAAATATTTCTTTGTAGTCGACATAAACAGATAAAATATCAAAACCATAGTTTGTGTTTGATGTTTGATACAACTCACAGGAAAGAAAATCAGATACTTAAACAACAGAGTCGTAAAGACTCAACTACAAGTTTCAAGTTTGTATTATACTAATGTGTAACAATAGACGTATGTCATACTAATCGTTTAAACACGTACAATAAATAAAATAAGAGAAATGGTCTATTATAGCAAAGCATCAATGATTATAATACAAAACAAAAGAGATCGCATTATCAACTCAAAAGTAATTGATTATAAACGAATCACGCCTTTAAGATTAAAAAAAAAATAATTTTTGTATGTTGCTCTTGAACCTACTCTTACTGTATGAGTACTGTATGACTCAAGTTGTGAAAGTTTGTTCCTCTTCAGAATGGCTTTTGTGATATAATAATATGCATCAAATGCATTGTGATTTCCTTGCAATTGTGCTAAAACACAATTATCATAACAAACATATACGGGCCTCATTTTCAAACACACATATTTTCTTTGAATAAATACAATAGTTTCTCTTACATTGTTCAATTCAGATTTTATATTACAACTGTCCCAATGAAAATGAGGTTCTCACTATTATTTTCGTTTGTTATTGTCGTTGGATTATGCAGTTATAAGTTTTCTGAGGCTAGAGAGCCTGTATGTTCTAAATTTGCATATGAAGAACAACTTTTAGAGAAAATGATCAGGACTGAAATAAAGGTAGAAAAAATGGTAAATGAAATTAAGAAAACTGAGGATAAGGTCATCAGTACATTAGGCGACATTAAACAAACAGTTACAGGTTTTACGAATATGTTTGAGGACATGAAGGGGAACATAACGGACGAGATGTTAAAGAGAGGTGATGCAATACAAAGAAGAGAAGGTATAATAAAACAGTTATTTCACATCAAACTCACATTTATTACAGCATATTAAACTTTTAATAGCTAAGTTTAAAATAATTTATATACAAACTATTGTATGTTTGTGGTGTCTCAGTCAAGGGAGCTAAATGATGAATTTAAAATATATAATGTTAATTGAGTTACTCCCCTTGGCGTGACAGTTTCAAACTTGTGCTATATACAGGGAATGCACAATCCCCTCTTTTACATATTGTTTTTAAGGTATACTGGCTTGATTGAGCTTTATTCATTACATTGTTTTATGATTGTGTAAATAAGATGTTATTTTACTGTTCTATCCAGTCAGTTATATAGAACATTCAATTGTTGTTGTTGCTTCTTGTAATGATGTATGAACATCTATCTACTAATGAACTAGCCTCGAAATGGCATATTTTCAGGAGGTGTGTACAATATGTTAACCGAAACAGTTTAAATAAAATAAGAAATAAACTTTATACGTTGTGCATATTTCCAATAATGTATTGTTTAATTTGTAATTGTTGGATTTATAGATCAATTTATCTTAATCATTGTAATTGATTTGGTAATTTAAAGTGATAAAAAAGAAGTTCAAAACATAATATATTTGCAATATTCAACTATCTGTAAGCTATATACAATGTATAAAACTATTTATATTCCAAAAATCAGATTAAATGTATCAGTTTCTTTAAAAAAATAACACATACGCCTAAAAATTCCATTAATTGTTTTGAGCATGAATTACATTTAGATTATCAATGCTACATGCTTTACAGGGGAACATAATTATAGCAGCTATAGAGAAATTATGTTTGCGTACAGAATACCCTTTAACTTTGGTTACATATTAGTTAATAGAATGTCCATACTTTATTACAGAAACGTTCAAAACATCATTTGAGGAAACAAGGAAAAACCTGACAAGTGACATCGAGGCTGAAAAGAGAAACTTTTTCAACTCCAAGGTATTGCTACCTGTTTTACATCAATTGTGTTAGATGTCTATTTATCTACAACTATTCACAGCAAATTAAATTGTTGTTTACTTGACATGTTTTATCTTGGTATATAACATGGTCAATGATATTTATTACAAACTATGTTGATATAAAATATGTTGTTCCATATTTAAATTTCTAACTCTCATAAGACGTCCAGATGATTTTGTTGACATTCACACATTCTAGTTTGTAATTATTGTAATTATTAAAACTCTACAGATATTGGTACAATATAAATATAAGGTTTTTTAATGTCATAGGCCCCTTGATTTAAATATCTTAGATATAAAAAACAAAAGTATTATTTCTATACTCAGAAAAACTCGAACAACCTTCGATCGCTTTCTATGCACACCACTTGAAAGACCTGGCTCTTGATACTACGAATGAGATTCTCATATTCGAGAAGACAATCACTAACGAGGGAACAGGTTACGACACGTCCACAGGATTGTTCACAGCACCTGTTGGAGGACTGTACCAGTTTGTTGTTCATACATGTGCTTATAAAGGAAAATATTCCTATCTGGGCCTAGTGATGGAAGGTAACGTTATTGCAGCAGATGCTAACTATGGTGATACTAATTATGGCTGTAATACGTTTGGTGCAATAGTGAGAGTAAAATCAGGAGAAAAAGTTTGGGTCAAATCAACATCGTCAGGTTCTGTCCACCAGTTACATCAAAACACTCATAGGATGAACACATTCAGTGGAGTACTTGTCAATTACTGAATTATAAATAAATCAATTAACATTGATGAGAGTAAAATCAAATTATTATAAGCTGACGTTAAACGTAAACGTTTTGATGTAAACTGCTTCAATTCATTTTAGACTCTTAGTAGAGTTTTGTGAAATAAGTCAAGAATGGTCGATTTATCAATGCTGTGTATCTATGTTGTAAAGAATATCATTCATACAACGTTTTAGTTTGCAAATTGTTAATAATTAGTTTATGTTTAAGTATATTAATAGTAAACACAAGGCTGATTAAAATTGATTACAGCAAAGAAAGCGAACCTTGTGTTCATGTAGGCTTTGTTTGAATGTATCATTTAGCAGGCTGAATGTTTCATGTTTATGAAAACAAATATTTTAGTAATCAGTACAAATTGTAATCTTTTCATATGAACATTTTGACCAAATGAAAGAACTAAAAGAATGATATTAATGCTCAAATTTGATATCTTAAAATATTGATATTTGCTCACATAGCCTTAATGTAATTGTAAAAACATGTTTAGGCTTCTATTCTCTTCAACGTAAAAAAGCATTACTTGCCATATTTCAAAGGTTTAATAGGTTTGTACATAAAATGCATTTGTATATATGTGCAAGATAGAAAATATTTGATTGAAGCAAATAAATAAATCCCCTACATTTTTGATATATTTGTATAAGCATATTGTCAGGTGTATTCATATTAAATAGTTTTCATTAATCACCAGTATTTATCGTCATTTTTGATATACAACTGGAAGACATTTACATTTATATCTTTTTTCACTGCGGTTGAAATGTTGTTATACTTCATCTCTTAAAAAGTCTTTTCTGTCCATGATATTTACATCAACTTCTGTATATGTTTATAATGAATTATATATTAGATAAAGTCAATTATAAGCAACATGAAATAAACATGATATTCAGGTTATTTCTTATATACTGTTGAACTGTAAAATACTTGTAAATTTTAGACTCAACACGTGTTTATGACATGGCTTGATGTTTTTACAAACAACACTTGTAATTGTTTTCATGATGTGTATCACCTGACAACCGCAACAAGTCTCGTTTGATGAAACGTTATTTCTGAATTTCACTAAAACTTTAAAATAGAAAATTTACAATTAAAAATAACGTATATTTTTTCCCTTTTAGATTGCAAGAAAATTTTTATTATTTTCCCTAGATTATATTCTTTTACCAAAACATTGCGCGCTTTTAAAATTAACATGTCTTTACCATAAGCAAAATATTCAAGCCTTTATTTAACCGGCTATTCTCTTTTTTATTTTCTCTATCGCTTTTAGTTTGCAGCCTTTTGATTGGTTATATTTTCGATTTTACACACACAATTAAAACTTAATTTATATTCATGGCATCATCTACATATATATATTTAAGAAACAATATGAAAAACAATAAAATTTTCAATTTATTTTTACATAACAAAAGGAAATATTAATGAAAACCTGAAAATTCGCTAGTTTAAAACCCCCAAAAAACAAATCACAATAATATTATATATTTTCTTGTGAAAATTGCAGAAAACAATATTTGTAACATAATATTTTCATATTTTCGTGTGATAGACAATATTCAAGAAGTACGTAACAGACGTTAATTGATACAAACTGCTCAAAACAAAAACATTTTAAGCAAAACATATTTGATAGATAATACAAACATCTCATCTACAGTTTATAAAGATATTGATCATTGTATTTATTCATATAGTTATCACAATCATTTTGAAAATCTGAATTTTGTGCAGTTCGGTCTTACTTCTTCACAATTCCTTTTTAAAGGAACTCCACTGACGTTTATAAGCCTACAAACATGACATGAAATTTTAATTTTTCACATAGATAAACATGAGCACTTAAAACATAAATATTAATAAAAAAGACCAAAAATCTTGAAGAAATACATTGAAAATCATATGTTTGTGCTCTTCTAAGACCGATTTGAGTGAAAAGCGTTTAAACGCTTTTCAATTTTGGGTCATTTTTCACTATTATAATTATTATTCTGGAAAAACGGAGGAAGCTAATGATCCGAAATTTTGCACATAATTTATTAGTATAGATCTACATCAAATAGAGTAATAATCTCAAAAAATATTTCCAGTCCCGTCATGTCAAAAAATCTCAGTGGTGGTCCTTTTATATTCAAATCCCTTCGTTACTGGATATACATGGTGTTAATTGAGTTATTCTGTGATTGCCTTTTGCCTTATGCTTATGTTTGACGTTTTAATTATTTTTATTCACAGGCACGAGTATCGGACCTGGGAAGAAAAAATATGACTAGGTTGATAACAAAAACTGGGTTCATCTTAAAAGTGTCAAAAAATTAAAAAAAAATGTAAATAATGACCCCCTTTAAAAATATACTATAAGTTAAGAGAAGGCCGGAAACTCCAGATTTGAGCCTACGAGCAAGGGTTTCATTTCCCGGGCCGATGTGAAAACAATTGGCCAGACAATTAAAACAAACTTTAATCACTATTTCACGTTTGTATTAAGCTTCAAAATGAGACCGACCCCAAGTCTCTAGCCCTTCCCGTTCATGAAATATCTATCAGGAAACGAGCGAATTTGTGCTTAAAATCCTTGGTAGACAGAATTGCGGCATAACAATTCGGTACGTAAATATAGACTTATACATGTATGTCAGCTGAGTACGGGTCAAAATCACTTTAATTTACTAAATAATATTACTAAATACATTAAGTTGGACCACTCACAACTGTCAGTAGCATCTGATACACACGAGATTCGAGTTTCAACATTTACACGGTCTTTCAATCGCTTTCTACGCCATTAGGCATCCTTGTGTGAAACGTTGCGGTTTTCGTTGCTATTGGCCAATCAGAAGACTCGTTACAAAATATCAAACAGCTGATTGACAATGGCGTAGAAAGGAATCTAAAGACCGTGGAAAGGTTTGAAACTCGAATCTCGTGTGTATCAGATGCTACTGACAGTTGTGAGTGGTCCAACTTAATGTATTTAGTAACTTAACTCTTAACTTATAGTATATTTTTAAAGGGGGTCATTATTAACATTTTTTTTTTAATTTTTTGACATTTTTAAGATGAACACAGGTTTTTTTTTATCAATCTGGTCATATTTTTTCTTCCCAGGTCCGATACTCGTGCCTGTGTTTTTATTCTATAAATGTCCTTTAATATTGTAGATAACAAAGCCTGACTTATATATATTTTAATAAAAGTCGTGTCATTTTCTTCAATTAAATATCTTTTTCCGTTTAATGGTAATCTTTTTTCTTACATTTTCTTTCTTCAGAAACGTTTTTTTTAAAAAAAACTCATGATAACCTGAATAAATTTTTGCATATTAAAAAAGATAAATGTTTTTTCTTTATTTCGTACTTTACTTATTTAAATCAAACTTTTTCAGTTTTTACTAACTTAAAACTTTGCATTAATTTTATCATCGTCTTGTGGTGCATTGTTTTCTTCATTTTCTGTGTCAAACAATGAATACCCAGAAAAAGACGAATACATGTAACCATGGATATATGGCGCACATTTTAGAAGCACGAGCCAGACCTGGTCCCCGGATGTTAGATTCAATATGGCGGTGTTCGACGACGTCGCCCAGAACCGGAATACTCTCTGTCCATACTGTCTCCACCATCGTTCCGTTGTTCATTAACAGCAGGCTACAAATGAAAACATTAGTAACAAATCAACATTTTTAGAAATTTACCTTCTTGGTATTTAAACTTTATATTGCAATCTTTAAAAGGCAGTATCTTTTGGTAAAATTTATGTATAAGACCGACACAATACAAACGTACACTTAACTTTCATTAAACGACAATTGAACTGCGTAATAAATTAAATGTATTCACTTAAGTTACATTCTTGTGATGGATATAAAATGAAGTACTTGACACTATATTTTGAATACATTTGGTAAATATGTTATCAATATCAGGCGCGTAGCTAGCCTATAAAGAATTTGGATTCAAAATAATCTAGGGGGGTCAGGGGGCATGCCCCCCCCCCCTTGTAAATTTTTAAATAAATGGTGCAATTTGGTGCGTTTTGGGGCCTCCGGAGAGCTTTCTTGACCAACGACAATCCATTTATTTTAGCATAAAAATGGAGATGAATAGCTTTTCTTTCGTTTATTTCAACTAGTCTACATTTCACAGCAAGTATAACTTGCGGCCTTTGCTGGCCGCAAACTCGTTAATGATAAATTATCAATGTTTTTTTCATAAAAATTCCATGTATCAATATAACTAATCTACCAAGAAGGAACTATTTCAAAAATGCAGAGAGTAATACGACAAAATGCGCCAGAATTTTTCACATTTGCATCATGAAATTCACTGATTCAGGTTGGTTAGTTCAAAATGTTGTCAGTCTCGCTAGAATCGTTCACAGACATGGGTCAAAACATGTCATTACTCAACAAACAGACCGAAACAAATAAACACTAGGCATACATAGTAACATTTTAGTTATAATTACCTCTTTTCTATCGCTGATTCTGCTGATGACTTCTTTAAGAACTCGATGTAAACATTTGTTTACATTTCGAAAATACGGCCCGTGCAAACTTCCGACTTTGAAGAGCTGCAAAGGCTGACAACTTTTCAAAAAAAAATACTACGGTATGGTGTACGATTTTGGCTATATGATTTATAAAGTATTCAGTGTTGTTATTATCAGATCTGGCGAACGCGGCTGAATTTCAAACCACATTTTTTTTACTAAAATTTTTTTTTTGTCAAAATAATGTGGATTCAGCTGCGTACTCGCGTATAGGCAGCTACGCGCCTGAATATACATGTATATCTATTACTCAATACAATGCAATAAAACTATCATTTTTTCCTTACATTTAGTGACATATATTACATGAAAATCATACATGAATATACATTTATTTGTGAAGCATATTCGATTAGTATCGTATGTGTTCTTTGACGTCATTTAACTTACGTCATTTATATCGTCATAAGGAAAT